CTCAAGAAGCCTACTACCTGCCACCACCACTGCCTAGTAGTCCACCTCCCAGATGGCCAGTAACCTCATCTACTTCACCGAGGCCTGCATGGCAACAGCCCTCGTCGTCCCAGCCACCACCGCCTAGCTGGAGTCCTCGTCAACCCGAATGGACTCCGGCACCCCCTAAACTGCCTCCACCCGCACGCAATAAAACCAGCCCGGTAGTTGGTGAGCTCAGCTACGATGTGATAGAAGAGCGAAAAACACTGCCCGAACACACTTCACGTTTCGTTGTGAAGCCCGGTAAGCAAAGAAAGAAATTCAATCCGCAACTGCATACGGAAAGGTGCGCAATTTTCGATTAAGTGGGTTAGCAATCGATATTCCATCTTTATCGTCGTAACACGAAAATCGTATTTCAGAGGATGTACAGATGTGGTGTGCTGCTTTCTTTTTCTCGTTTTCACTGCCGGATGGGGAGTGGTGGCAACAATCGGTAAGTGTTTTTGTTGAAATCGCTTAGAGGCATCGTTCTCGTGTGCAAGTCAGGTTGCAAGGGTTGATCTCATCTGGCAAAAACAATAATTGCTTCATGTGCTTGTTTGTTTAGGCTTCCTTTGGGGAGATGCAGAACGGCTCATATTGCCCACGGACTCGGCTGGACGGCGCTGCGGGGGGTATCGAGAGAATTCTTACAATTTTACGTGAGTTCAAAGGCCATGTGTAAATAACATCAGTGCCACTTACGAGTAAGGTCTTTAAGGGAATTTTCTTTGAATTTCTGGGAATTCTCTTCTTTCTGACCGGCCCTCTGAATACTAAAAAGGGGTGATGAAGTGGTCCGTGGTTCGAATCCTCGCAGTGACAATTTTTTGCATTTTGTGTTGGCGTTTCAAAATTCGCGAAAAATAGCGTCAGCGTAAACAACTTATGTCATATCTATAATTAGGACCATCAGCAACCTTTATACGTAGACTTTGGCTAAAAAACTGGTGAAGAAAGTTAAGAACGGCAGTTCCTTAAGAAATTTTTCTTCGCTCCTTTTTTGGTATTCAGAGGGTCGCTCAGGAAAAATGAACCACAGTTCTGTGTTCCATGCACGTACCTCTATATATGCAAAAAACCGTTCGAGAAAGCTGGGCATTCCCTGAAAGCTTCCTGCTCAGCTTTGTACATTTCTTAACCAAGCAAAGCAGACACAGCGCGTGCAAGCAGAGACTTAGGGTCAGGAAGGGGGGAAGTATTGTAGCGGGTAAAACCAGAATCGAGCTGGGTTGAGGAACTTCCTCGATGAAAGGGCCTGTTTAGTCGGTTTTGAAGGATTGGGTCCCATAGGCATGACCAGGATCACATAGGTGGGCTCTTGAATACGAATGCAAATGCATTGGTGCGAAATGGGCCGGCAGTAAAGAAAAAAGGAAAAGAATCCGTCGAAAACGCTTAGGTTAAGGGCTCACTCACCTTCCTAATCGGCTGTGCTAAGGGAATGAGAGACTAAGCGCGGAGAGGAGAGTATGAGGCGAGAGAGCGCTACAGATGAGAGAGCGCCAGACAACAGCCTGATAAGAGAAAAAAATCTGCAGCTTCAGCAGCTTACTTTGCAAGGCCCAAGCGCTCTTGTCGGTTGGTTTCCGTGCACGGAACGCCACATTTGTGATTGTCCTCTAGGGTCTATACTACAGACCGAAGGAAGCGTTCACACGACCTCTGCCTGGGTTGTGCCTTTAAGTACCAGGATCAGCGCTAACCAAAGCTTCTTGAGATAAGAACCGCCGCTAGTGCTGGATGCCGCTGAACGTCGAACGCATGGCGCGCCCCTCGCGAGTCCGAACAATGCTGTGCACTTCAAATCCTGTTCTGTGCAATGTGCATTTAAGGGTGATTGAGAGGTTTTCGGAAGGAGCTGCAAAACGGCATAAAGGAATTCACTATTCAATTCATACAAGCATAGTTCTGCGCTTTTTCAAAACATGTAACCTTTGGACGATATGGATTTTTACACTTTTCAAAATAATCAGTTGTTTTGCAGTTCCTTCTGCACAAAAGCGTCTTCAAAAATGTGGCTGTGGGGCTTCAAAACCATTGGAAAGATGATATCTATTCATTTACAGCTCCCCGATTCCTTTTGGATGCCTTCGAAGAAAGTTATGATAGCTCCTAGGAGTAGTAAAAGCTCGCACACCCGAAGACTTCTCTTTTTGATTCTAAGTAAGGCTTACTTATCGCTATAGGGTTAGCGCCTTTTTGAAATTACGTGTCGGAAACCTTTGAAATTCTCTTCGATTGGTCTTTTCTAAAAAAAGTAATAGGCGTTTCGGAATGACCACGATTGTACTCACTTTCCTCGTGTCCCGTCCTTATGCAGGGAGGGTTGTGAATGACGTCCTGGCGTCGGACGTATATGAAATATTTGCGACAATCCGCTTGACCCTGGAACTTTTCTTTCTTGAGCGTAATTCAGTCGCACAAGTGTGTACCGAGCCGACGCGTGTTGTGCACTTCAGCTGGAAAATATGAAGAAACTACGGGGCGCGGCAGTCGTCGCTCGCAGTGACTCACAGTGCTGCTAAATAAAGTATTCTCTGTCCCCGGGGTTCAAGTTCGGCGACATGCTCATTCTCTAAGTTCTAGTTGGCACGTCTACTTTCCTAGTTGACGGGCTCTCGTGGGAAGTGAAGGTGTTAACTAAACCTGCCGATTACGCACGCACGTGACCGCACTTGCGTCAGCATCCTCAGCAATTTGACGCTCAGCCCGCTGCCATTGAATACTTCTGAAGAGGATATGAGAAGGGGAGGGGACATGATAAGATTATCAAGACGAGAACTGACTAGTGATGCGTGTTTTGACGTGGTTGCTGTACAGTAACAACGCGCCGCGCACGCTCCATATGCTGCACATTTTCG